AGTTTGAATTTTTAAATAATATTGATCATGGATTTTAAAAGATCGGTTTTCAAAATTAATGTTAATATTTTAGTGTTATTCCTGACGCACGTGTGGACCCATATCCTGGTGTACAAAATATATATAGTTTCTACATTATTTACATTTAGAAATTTATATATATATATATATATATATATAAATTGCGATGGCAAGAAGGAATAATCGTAACAGTAATTAGGAGAAAGACCAATGATTACTTTTGGCGCCAATCCCTTTTGCCCGGTTGTACCACGGACCAATCACGAGCCTCGCTCACCTCTCCTGGGAGGGTTGGCGCGGCCCGCAGGTCAGTGTGGCGGGAGACGTCCCAGCGAGCACTTCTCCTTCTCCCTCCTCCTCCTACTTTCACCTGTTTATGAGGTTTGCGTTTTAAGGAGGAAGGCTTCCCGTCGTCAGGGCGATCACTCGTCCTCCTCCTCGCTGTAGAAGAGGTTATATTACCAGTCCGCCTCAGACGTGAAAGTGTAGAATATGTAAGAAGTCAGTCGACGCTGTGAATCCCATTCCTCTAGACGATCATCGAATGCTGTCCTGACGCCCAAGAGCATTAAGGAAGGCTTAGATGGTTTAGATCAACAGCCTGGTTGACCAGTCCAGCAACGAGGAGGCCTGATCGAGAACCGGTCCCCGGGGACGCTAAGCCCCGAAATCATCTCAGACCAACTCAAGGTAGATGGCTTACCAAAGAATTTAAGACTACGCTAAATCTAAAGAGAGAATATATCGGTAAGTTTTAATGAAAACTGACGGCATAACATGTATTGATTACATATAATCAAATGTTCTTGATATATAACATTGCTGTCGTCCTCGCCAACCCAATAAAGACCCAACTACGTTTTATTTAATCAAATCGAGTAACTACGGAGGTTTGTTAATTACCATCAGACGGAAAGAATATGTATTCTTACACAGAGACATAGACAGTATGTATCAATATGAATCACTATATTTAATTTGTATTCTTTCCTCGATAGCTACTTGAGGAGAGTAGATATTACCCTTGAGGAGAGTAGACACTACTCTTGTGGAGAGTAGACATTGCCCTTGAGGAGAGTAGATATTACCCTTGAGGAGAGTAGATATTACTCTTTGAAGGAGAGTAGATATTACTCTTGAGGAGAGTAGACATTACCCTTGAGGAGAGAAGACATTACCCTTGAGGAGAGTAGACATTACCCTTGAGGAGAGTAGACATTACCCTTGAGGAGAGTTATTACCGTTGAATTCAGAGATGCCGTTGAGGAAAATAAATATCTACGCTGAAACGAGTAGATATTACCGTTGAAGAGATTAAACATTACTGTTAAAAAAAGGTAGATAAGCTTCGAAGGGCTACGAAGGCAGTCCATCCCTTCGAATGATCACAACATCACTAAAATGATCTTATCTTGAGGTTATCTTGAGATGATTTCGGGGCTTTAGTGTCCCCGCGGCCCGGTCCTCGACCAGGCCTCCACCCCCAGGAAGCAGCCCGTGACAGCTGACTAAACACCCAGGTGCCTATTTTACTGCTAGGTAACAGGGGCATAGGGTGAAAGAAACTCTGCCCATTGTCTCTCGCCGGCGCCCGGGATCGAACCGAGTAGATATTACCACAGGATCACAAGTCCAGCGTGCTGTCCGCTCGGCCGACCGGCTCCCGATCGGGGTGACTTAGTTAAAAAATAATGTTGGGTTGAGAAGCATCGAAACGCATAAACTGCTTAACAGAAAGAGAGAGAGAGAGACTAAGCTTCCTTCATCGAGGAAAGATATACAGGTTTCGTCAGTGTATATGTAAATGTGTGATGAATTTCTGATATCCCCGGCGTTGCTGTACATATATACACACACAGCATCAGTGGTGTGTTTGATAACGTTATTGCTTAGCGTTATCATATCCCAAATCGTCTTCCTGGTCCCTTCCAAGGGCTATAATAGTCGTAATGGCTTGGAGCTTTCCCCCTGATAATTCCCGGCCATCCCTTCCCCTCTCCTACTGACCTCTCAACTTAACCTTTATGACCCGGTCTCTGACCAAACCTCCTGGTTGGTGGTCTGGTCAGCCTGTCTCCTCACTTGAGAATGAACCTTGTTGGTTCGAAATGCTGTGTGAATTTATAATAAGTCTAATACATTCTACAGATTTTTTTTTTTGAGATATATACAAGAGTTGTTACATTCTTGTACAGCCACTAGTACGCGTAGCGTTTCGGGCAGGTCCCTGGAATACGGTCCCCGCCGTGAAGAATCGTTTTTTCATCCAAGTACACATTTTACTGTTGCGTTAAACAGAGGCTACAGTTAAGGAATTGCGCCCAGTAAATCCTCCCCGGCCAGGATACGAACCCATGACATAGCGCTCGCGGAACGCCAGGCAAGTGTCTTACCACTGCACCACGGAGACTGTTCTCGGAGAGGTCTTACTACTGCACCACGGAGACTGTTCTCGGAGAGATCGTTCATATACTTGTGGTCTGGCTGGGTCAGTGACGTCCCTGTGGTCTGGCTGGGTCAGTGACGTCCCTGTGGTCTGGCTGGGTCAGTGACGTCCTTGTGGTCTGGCTGGGTCAGTGACGTCCCTGTGGTCTGGCTGGGTCAGTGGCGTCCCTGTGGTCTGGCTGGGTCATTGACGTCCTTGAGGTCTGGCTGGGTCAGTGACGTCCTTGAGGTCTGGCTGGGTCAGTGACGTCCCTGTGGTCTGGCTGGGTCAGTGACGTCCTTGTGGTCTGGCTGGGTCAGTGACGTCCCTGTGGTCTGGCTGGGTCAGTGGCGTCCCTGTGGTCTGGCTGGGTCAGTGACGTCCCTGTGGTCTGGCTGGGTCAGTGACGTCCCTGTGGTCTGGCTGGGTCAGTGACGTCCCTGTGGTCTGGCTGGGTCAGTGACGTCCTTGAGGTCTGGCTGGGTCAGTGACGTCCTTGAGGTCTGGCTGGGTCAGTGACGTCCCTGTGGTCTGGCTGGGTCAGTGACGTCCTTGTGGTCTGGCTGGGTCAGTGACGTCCCGGTGGTCTGGCTGGGTCAGTGACGTCCCGGTGGTCTGGCTGGGTCAGTGACGTCCCTGTGGTCTGGCTGGGTCAGTGACGTCCCTGTGGTCTGGCTGGGTCAGTGACGTCCCTGTGGTCTGGCTGGGTCAGTGACGTCCCTGTGGTCTGGCTGGGTCAGTGACGTCCTTGAGGTCTGGCTGGGTCAGTGACGTCCCTGTGGTCTGGCTGGGTCAGTGACGTCCCTGTGGTCTGGCTGGGTCAGTGACGTCCTTGAGGACTGGCTGGGTCAGTGACGCCCCTGTGGTCTGGCTGGGTCAGTGACGCCCCTGTGGTCTGGCTGGGTCAGTGACGTCCCTGTGGTCTGGCTGGGTCAGTGACGCCCCTGTGGTCTGGCTGGGTCAGTGACGCCCCTGTGGTCTGGCTGGGTCAGTGACGTCCCTGTGGTCTGGCTAGGTCAGTGGCGTCCCTGTGGTCTGGCTGGGTCAGTGACGCCCCTGTGGTCTGGCTGGGTCAGTGACGTCCCTGTGGTCTGGCTGGGTCAGTGACGCCCCTGTGGTCTGGCTGGGTCAGTGACGCCCTTGTGGTCTGGCTGGGTCAGTGACGTCCCTGTGGTCTGGCTAGGTCAGTGGCGTCCCTGTGGTCTGGCTGGGTCAGTGACGCCCCTGTGGTCTGGCTGGGTCAGTGGCGTCCCTGTGGTCTGGCTGGGTCAGTGACGCCCCTGTGGTCTGGCTGGGTCAGTGACGCCCCTGTGGTCTGGCTGGGTCAGTGACGCCCCTGTGGTCTGGCTGGGTCAGTGACGTCCCTTGTGGTCTGGCTGGATCAGTGACGTCCCTGTGGTCTAACTGGGTCAGTGACGCCCCTGTGGTCTGGCTGGGTCAGTGACGTCCCTGTGGTCTAGCTGGGTCAGTGACGTCCCTGTGGTCTAACTGGGTCAGTGACGCCCCTGTGGTCTGGCTGGGTCAGTGACGTCCCTGTGGTCTAGCTGGGTCAGTGACGCCCTTGTGGTCTGGCTGGGTCAGTGACGTCCCTGTGGTCTGGCTGGGTCAGTGACGTCTTTGAGGTCTGGCTGGGTCAGTGACGTCCCTGTGGTCTGGTTGGGTCAGTGACGCTCTTATGGTCTGGCTGGGTCAGTGACGCCCCTGTGGTCTGGCTGGGTCAGTGACGTCCCTGTGGTCTGGCTGGGTCAGTGACGCCCCTGTGGTCTGGCTGGGTCAGTGACGTCCGTGTGGTCTGGCTGGGTCAGTGACGCCCCTGTGGTCTGGCTGGGTCAGTGACGTCCCTGAGGTCTGGCTGGGTCAGTGACGCTCCTGTGGTCTGGCTGGGTCAGTGACGTCCGTGTGGTCTGGCTGGGTCAGTGACGTCCTTGAGGTCTGGCTGGATCAGTGACGTCCCTATGGTCTGGCTGGGTCAGTGACGTCTTTGAGGTCTGGCTGGGTCAGTGACGTCCTTGAGGTCTGGCTGGGTCAGTGACGTCCATGTGGTCTGTCTGGGTCAGTGACGTCCCTTGAGGTCTGGCTGGGTCAGTGACGCCCCTGTGGTCTGGCTGGGGCCTACCCAAGCGGCCTACCCAAGCGGCCTACCCAAGTGACCTACCCAAGTGACCTACTCAAGTGACCTACTCAAGCAGCCCCCCTACTCACAGGAACACCACAAACTCTAAGATTTGAATTGGGAGAAAACATCGGGAACTCACAAGAGTTCTTACAATTATTAACTAGCAAGTTTGGTGTTGGGCTAAAGACCTATATCAACCTCAGGAGGAGGATTGAGTCCACCTCATATTTTACTGACCAACCACCAAGTATACTTTTTAGTCCTGAACATTATCCAGGACTAAAATAGACTCTCAGTGTGACTACATTAAGAAGCTGCTGGGGCTTCATGTATACATATTTTCTGGGGTTGCATATATTTCACAGGGGTTGCATATACCTTTCATTGTATATTCCGGTGACTAAAACATTATCAAGGGAAAATTATTTTACAAATGTCTTTGTTTATAGTCTTTATATAATAATTCATTTAAATAAATAACAGTATCGTGAGAGAAAATAAATAATACAATCAGTAAGAAAGTGAAAGAATAAAGAGGAAAAGATAGTAGTCAGTCTCTCAGTTCTTCAATAACATCAAGACTGTCGCCCGTGGTGTTCAAGGGAGCACATCTCCTGCAGGATGCTGCTGCTGTTTACTTCCTGTCGTCGTCGTCGTCGTCCTCGGAGGACACGAAGGATCCCTGAGCGCCGTCAGCCCTGACGCCGTCAGCGGTGGCGGGAACGGCGTTGGACTCCAGGACGCGGTAACCGTCTTCGTCAGCGATGTACTTGACGAAGTATTCCACGCCTTCAGGAGACGTCCACCTGGAACGGCAAAGTAATCCCAGTCTTATTTTGACTCTAAATAATTAGAGTTTAAAACATATTAAATTTGTTCTTATAATTAACAAATCTCTGGACTTAGAGGTTGTCATTTTGTTCAAATCCTTTTTAGAAGAATTAATTAGGCCAAATTGAACTTAGTAGAAGCATCAAGAACGTTGGGTCAGTATCAGAGACTCAAATCATTAAGTATTGCTAATAAGGAACTCCAATATCATTTTAAAAATGTGTTTGTTTTGTTGTGGAGTCAGGTGGAACACAGGTGAAAGACCCACCTGTAGGAGCCGGTGATGGTGTTGTCGTCGTCGATGTTCTGCTCTTGGTGGATTTCGTCGAGGTCAACGTCAGGTCTGGCGGCGACCAGGGCGACCACACCCAGGAGGACGAGTACCTGACGGAGGCCGAAGGAGGAGGTGAGGCAACACACACACACACACACACACACTATAGCAACCTTGAACCATATAGACACACTATAGAGCCATCTTTGCACATATATCTACTAGAGAGCGCACCAGGGGGGTGGGGGGGTTGCCCCTCAGATACAAATGATCGAGTCTACTCACATAAGTCTTCATGCTGGTGACGGAGGCGAGAGAGTGATGACCAGCCCTGGTCACCTGGCCTTATATAGCCTGGTGAGCCAGGTCGCCCCTCCCCCAAAACCCACCCTGCTTGTTTGTCAATCGTCCGAACAAAAAAAAGAGTGCCAGGGAAGGTAGACAGTAGCAAGTGACCCATTGAGTGTCTAAAACTCCCTCTCTCTTTCTCTCCAAGTTCTTAACACTTCATAGGTCTCAAAATTTAACAGCGGTTTTGAGTCAGCAGAAGCGTCAATATTGTGACGCATTATGACGGCAGGTGGCTATACTAAGTATAGACAAAATTATGTAATTATCCCATTGAGCATTGGACTATATATTCGACAGTTAGAACTCGCTAAATCTTTTCTATACCAAGTTGGAACAAGATAGACAGCAAACAGTAAAGGATTGAAGAGCTTCTTGAATGATTCCAATTATCTAAGAAATGCGTTCCCTTATAACTCAATTTCTCAACCACCTGATAGGACAATATGATATATGCTACCAGGCCTGTAACAGGGATGATATATCCTATCAGGCCTGTACCATGGATGATATATCCTACCAGGCCTGTAACATGGTTGATATATCCTATCACGCCTGTAACGTGGTTGATATATCCTACCAGGCCTCTAACATGGATGATGTATTCTACCAGACCTGTCTGTTTGCATGTTCGAGGTTGGACGCCAGACAGCCGTGATGAACCTCGTTCAACTCCATAGTGTATTGTGACGGTAGAGAGTCATAGGGTGCTTGGATCCACTCTCATGCCCCCCATTTAAGTAGGGTTGGCTCCTGTTGCGATAATCAGCGACTCTAATGAAGTCTGGAATATGAGTTTGATTCTCCATAGAGTGTTTTCCAACTTATTCCCCCCCCCCCCTTCGTTAACGCATATTCAACGCCGATAACGTTGATTCAACGTCACTTCAAACATTGCAAACGTTTTTTCGATGTTGATTCAACGTTACTCGAGAAAGTTGTGCTCGCTGGAAGAGAACGGGAGATGTAAGAGAGAAGAGAATGAGAGGAAGAATGGAAAGGAGGGACGGGTCAGGGGGTGGACAGAGGGACGGATCAGGGGGTGGACAGAGGGACGGGTCAGGGGGTAGACAGAGGGACGGGTCAGGGGATGGACACAGGGACGGGTCAGGGGGTAGACACAGGGACGGGTCAGGAGGTGGACAGAGGGACGGGTCAGGGGGTGGACAGAGGGACGGGTCAGGGGGTGGACAGAGGGACGGGTCAGGGGGTAGACAGAGGGACGGGTCAGGGGATGGACAGAGGGACGGGTCAGGGGGTGGACAGAGGGACGGGTCAGGGGGTGGACAGAGGGACGGGTCAGGGGGTGGACAGAGGGACGGGTCAGGGGGTGGACAGAGGGACGGGTCAGGGGGGTGGACAGAGGGACGGGTCAGGGGGTGGACAGAGGGACGGGTCAGGGGTGGAAAGAAGGACGAGTCAAGGGGTGGACAGAGGGACGGGTCAGGGGATGGACAGAGGGACGGGTCAGGGGTGGAAAGAAGGACGAGTCAAGGGGTGGACAGAGGGACGGGTCAGGGGACGGGTCAGGGGATGGACACAGGGACGGGTCAGGGGGTAGACACAGGGACGGGTCAGGGGGTGGACAGAGGGACGGGTCAGGGGGTGGACAGAGGGACGGGTCAGGGGGTGGACACAGGGACGGGTCAGGGGGTGGACAGAGGGACGGGTCAGGGGGTGGACAGAGGGACGGGTCAGGGGGGTGGACAGAGGGACGGGTCAGGGGATGGACACAGGGACGGGTCAGGGGGTAGACACAGGGACGGGTCAGGGGGTGGACAGAGGGACGGGTCAGGGGGTGGACAGAGGGACGGGTCAGGGGGTGGACAGAGGGACGGGTCAGGGGGTGGACAGAGGGACGGGTCAGGGGGGTAGACAGAGGGACGGGTCAGGGGATGGACAGAGGGACGAGTCAAGGGGTGGACAGAGGGACGGGTCAGGGGACGGGTCAGGGGACGGGTCAGGGGGTGGACAGAGGGACGGGTCAGGGGACGGGTCAGGGGGTGGACAGAGGGACGGGTCAGGGGATGGACAGAGGGACGGGTCAGGGGGTGGACAGAGGGACGGGTCAGGGGGAGGACAGAGAAACGCGCAACAGAGTCGACAGCAGGACGGATCAGCAGGTTTTAAGTTTATTTTATTGTAGGGGGGTTGTTTGGCCCGTGATACTCCCTCAGAGAAGTAAAGTATCCTCAAGTCCAAACGTCATTCCACCGTCTTATTGCTCTTGACACATGTTTATAGCACTGAGCCAAGTCACTTTCTCTGACATACGAAGGATCTTCTAGTCCCTCGTCTGTGAGGGGATGCGAGAGGAATTAAGAAGTCCTCCGTACATCAAATGAGATGGATTTAATGGCTCACGTTGCGAGTGATTGTCAGAGATGTAGGTCAGTGGTCTGTTATTGACCAAGATTCATTTTCGGTGACAACGGTGTAGAGCTCCTGTAGGTCAATCTTTTCACAGTGGAGGGCTTTCCGTAGACAACATTTCACTGTGCCCACCATTCGTTCGTAGAAGCCTCCATGCCACGGTGCTCTTGGGAGTGTATAAACTTCCAGTGAAACAACGGTGCTCTTGGGAGTGTATAAACTTCCAGTGAAACAACGGTGCTCTTGGGGGTGTATAAACTTCCAGTGACACAACGGTGCTCTTGGGAGTGTATAAACTTCCAGTGACACAACGGTGCTCTTGGGGGTGTATAAACTTCCAGTGACACAACGGTGCTCTTGGGAGTGTATAAACTTCCAGTGACACAACGGTGCTCTTGGGGGTGTATAAACTTCCAGTGACACAACGGTGCTCTTGGGGGTGTATAAACTTCCAGTGACACAACGGTGCTCTTGGGGGTGTATAAACTTCCAGTGACACCGCCGTGGATTCAGTGCGGTGCGTACCACTGGGTGATTCCAGACTTCCCTCAGGCATGCTTTCCCTGCCACCAAGTTGGACCCATTGTCGGAGATCATCAACTTGGGACAGGATCAACGGGCAGCAGAAAGCCTGTATTAATGACTCGGTAGTCATGCCGGGAGTTACTTCTAGGTGTAGTCCCCTTGTTGTGGTACAGGTGAATAGGCTGATGTAAGCCTTCACCGGAACTTTGTCTATACTGCCGGCTAGTGTTATGACTCCTGTGTAGTCCACACCAGTGGTCTCAAAAGGACGATGGTGGGTGACTGAGCTTTAACTCACTGGCAGCCCAATCAGTGAGGTAGCCCAACCAGTGAGGTAGCCCAACAAGTGAAGTAGCCCAACAAGTGAAGTAGCCCAACCAGTGAAGGTAGCCCAACCAGTGACGCATCGCTATCTAGGAGATAGCAAGCGGTGCGTCAAGGAGATTAAGAAAGATCAAGACCTTCTGGCTGTGAGATAGCACCTATACACACACCAGGTTGGTAGTTGACCGGGGTCAGGTCACAACCTTGCTCAAGATGCTGGCCTTAATTAAGAAATCTCGTTGAACCGAAATAAAAAGCAAGTTCCAGATTTGTCTAATAACAATGGCGATGCAGGGTACAGCCGAGGCATTGCTGTCTTCAGAAGACTTCGAGACTGTGCCGACGGGGGCATCGGTGGTCATCCTGGCCTAATGGTCCCGGACCATGGAGCTGCAGGAGTCGAGTCAGGGCGAGAGTCCTGACTGTGGGGGATGATGAGGCTATCCAGCTCTATCGACTGTGTACGTTGAACTCAGTAGCCTCAGTATACTGCGTCTGGAGTATTGGAAATGCTTCAGCATACTGTGTCTGGTGTAGTGGAAATGCCTCAGTATACTGTGTCTGGTGTAGTGGAAATGCTTTAGCATACTGTGTCTGGTGTAGTGGAAATGCCTCAGTATACTGTGTCTGGTGTAGTGGAAATGCTTCAGTATACTGTGTCTGGTGTAGTGGAAATGCTTCAGTATACTGCGTCTAGTGTAGTGGAAATGCCTCAGTATACTGCGTCTGGTGTAGTGGATATGCCTCAGTATAATGTAACTGGTGTAGTTAATAGGATTCAGTATACTGCATCGATGTAGTGGCTAGACCTCAGTATACTGTATCTAAATTCTAAATTGTGTAAAGACACATGTAAATATTTTATAAAGACATAACCATTTTGCGCTAAAATGATTTACAATTTCAGTAACAAATAAGGAGGACTGAAAGACATTGTTTAATATTTATGTCGCCAGAATCTTTATGTAAAAAAAAAACAGTTTTATAAATATATAAATAAATCATATTAATAAATAAATAAAACCTAATACTCATATGTGCGAGACGATTGATGGAGAAGATTGTTAATTATTAACTTGAGTCGAGGTAAGAGAGATGAGTAATGGTGATGAGTGAGAGATGAGTGAGGGGTTATTCCTTCACTTAAACTCATCTCCGGCAGGTCGGTGGAGTCTCGCAACAGCTCTCAAAAAAGCTTCTGCACATCCCTTCCCGTGGTGATCAAGGGAGCACATCTCCCGCAGGATGCTGCTGCTGTTTACTTCCTGTCGTCGTCGTCGTCGTCCTCGGAGGACACGAAGGATCCCTGAGCGCCGTCAGCCCTGACGCCGTCAGCGGTGGCGGGAACGGCGTTGGACTCCAGGACGCGGTAACCGTCTTCGTCAGCGATGTACTTGACGAAGTATTCTACGCCTTCAGGAGACGTCCACCTGAAACGGCAAAGAAATCCCAGTCTTATTTTTGACCAATAGTTCGCACATAAAATATATTCCTCTCCTCAGTCGCCTGACGCAGAGTTCGGTCTCATTACCGCCGCAAGAACGCGACCATGGAACACATAACTCAGAAACATGAACTTTTTAAAACCGGTTCTGGTTTTACGTATTTTCATTCTTATAACTAGGCTTACACAAGCCATGTAACTAGGGCCTACACAAGCCATGTAACATGGCCTATACAGGCATGTAACTAGTCTTACACATCTAAGTAACTAAGCGTACATAAGCTGAGAAGAGTTATGTTTGATCCGCTGGTCAAACATAACTCTCATGTCAATCTTGAGTTGGTGCTGAGAGGGGTATAAGAGACCCACCTGTAGGAGCCGGTGATGGTGTTGTCGTCGTCGATGTCCTGCACCTGGTGGCTGTCGTCGAGGTCGACGTCAGGTCTGGCGGCGACCAGGGCGACCACACCCAGGAGGACGAGTACCTGGAGGAGGCAGAGGAGGAGGTTAGGTAACACCAGAGAGAAGATGAGGCGTGAGAGAGAAGGGCAGGTAACATGTGAGGGAGAATGAGGCACTTCACAGGTAAACAATGAATGCTGACGTCAACACGTGTCACCAAACACCTGAGCTTCAAGAACACCCAAGACAGGGTTCCGCCACCAACACGTGTCTCTCCTTAGTGGGGGACGGTTTTACAAGATAAACACCTTAAGTGGATTATATTTTAAACTATAGCAGATCTAATTCATCTTCTGAGACAGATTAATGCAAATTTCTAAGACATATCAATGTCAACTTCTAAGACAGATCAATGTCAACTTCTAAGACAAATCAATGTTAACTTCTGAGACAGATCAATGCAAACTTCTAAGACAGATCAATGTCAACTTCTAAGACAAAGTTAACTTATGTGGACAATTTGATAATTAAGGCTCTCCCGAATTAGACGAGGAAATATGTTCGCGATCTATATCTATAATGATTAATTAGTTATTAAAAAAAACTTCAGATAATAGACTAACGTATAATAGAATAATAGACAGCCAGGTAATAGGAATAATAGAATTATCAATTTACATCTATCTAATTCTCACATGAGTCAGAATAACTCACATGAGCTCAACAAATCTCTCAATATATCAGTTAATTTTGTTATTGTTTCAATTAACTCGACGAACATGGGGACTTTAATAATAATAATAATAATAATTATTATTATTATTATTATTATTATTATTATTATTATTATTATTATTATTATTATTATTATTATTATTATTTTAAGCTTTCTCTTGCTTAAGATGAGATGCTTTCTCTCTTAAGATGATTTCATCATCTCAACTCACGAAGGTGTTCATGGTGATGGCGAAGCAGGAGCGTGTGACGGCCGGCCTCGGGGACCCGGCTCTTTATAGCGGCCGAGTCCAGGGCGAGTGGCCACGACCTCCCTCCGTTCCTCCCGCCTTCTCCTGGAGCGGACAAAAATGTCAAGGAATCCGGATTGGTTCACGCGGCTTGTGCACCGCCCTCTCTTCTCCTCCCGCCTCTGTCCTCACCGCTCAAGTCACAGGTCATGTTTTGCCGCCATGTTGGTTCACCACATAAGGAGTCAACATAATGAGGTCACCCACACTGAGGTTCATGACGATGGGGATCAAACACACAGGAGTCAACAGGGTCTGGTAGCTGATCGGACAGCAACGCGTAGGACTCGTAATCCTGTTGCCCGGGTTCGATTCCCGGACCAGGCAGAAACAAATGGGCAAAGCTTCTTTCATCCTGATGCTTCTGTTACCTAGCAGTAAATAGGTTACCTGGGAGTTAGATAGCTGTTACGGAGCTGCTTTCTGGGTGTATATGTGTGTGAAAAAAACCGTTAGTTAGTAGTTACTTACAGTTGATTGATTGACAGTTGAGAGGCGGGCCGGAAGAGCAGAGCTCAGCACCCGCAAGAACAACTAGGTAAATACAGCCGTATGCAAGGCGGGCTAACATCAGACCTGCCTTCAGAAACCAGTGTAAGGAATCATTCTGAACCTTGTATACCACGTATGTAAGACCAATCCTGGAGTATGCGGCCCTAGCATGGAGCCCGTATCTTGTCAAGCACAAGACGAAGCTAGAAAAAAGTTTAGAGGTATGCCACTAGGCTAGTCCCAGAACTAAGAGGCATGAGTTACGAGGAAAGGCTGCGTGAAATGCACCTCACATCGCTGGAAGCCTGAAGCGCTCGGGGAGACATGATCACCACATACAAAATTCTCATGGGAATTGACAGGGTCGGCAAGGATGGATTATTTAACACTGGTGGTACGTGAACAAGGGGACACAGGTGAAAACTTAGTACCCAAATGAGCCACAGAGACATTAGAAAGAACTTTTTCAGTGTCAGAGTAGTTAACAGATGGAATGCATTAGGCAGTGATGTGGTGGAGGCTGACTCCATACACAGTTTCAAGTGTAGATATGATAGAGCCCAGTAGGCTCAGGAACCTATACACCAGTTGATTGGCAGTTGAGAGACGGGACCAAAGAGCCAGAGCTCAACCCCCGCAAGCACAACTAGGTGAGTACAGGGGTCAACACAACAAAGGTCAACACACATTGGGTCTCCTAAATGCAGCAAAAGTTTGCAACAAAAGTAGTGCCAGAGCAACGAGGGATAAGCTACGAGAATACGCTAATGGAACTAAATCTCACAACTTTAGAGAATAGAAGGAACAGGAAGAGATATGATCACAACATACAAGATACCGAGGAGAATAGGTGAACAAGGACAGCCTCTTCAAATTGAGAGAAAGGACCACTGTACACACACACCATTACCACACAGGACCACTGTACACACACACCATTACCACACACGACCACTGTACACACACACACCATTACCACACAGGACCACTGTACACACACACACCATTACCACACACGACCACTGTACACACACCTGGAGGTTCACGTCACATGGGGACTGTACCCCCCCCCACCCCCCCACCCCCTACCCCCCACCCCCTACCCCCCCCCCCAACCCCCTACCCCCTTCTCCCCCAACAACAGACGTCATTAGCAGTATGTGTGAGGTTGGAGGTTGGCTAAGCTGACAGCTGACTTTAGAATTATGCGATGGTTATCAGTGCAGACCTTTATTGGTATACCACGTATGTCAGACTATTAATGGACTATGCAGCACTAGCGTAGAATCCTCACCAAGTCAAACAAATCTTAGTTTAAGAAAGTCCTGAGGTATATCACTAGAACAGTCCCAGAATTGAGAAGTGCGAGTTACGAGGAAAGGCTAAAGGAATTAAACCCTCACGTCGGTGGAAGATAGAAGAGTTAGGGGAGACATGATTACGACATGCAGAATCCTCAATGTAGCTGATAGCAGACAGTGACAGATTATTTGCGATGGGTGGCACTAGAAGGAGTTTTACCCACATTTGCCACGTAATTAACAGAAAGAACTATGTCACTATCTGTGTAGTGAAAACGTGAAATGTGCCACTTCATATATTGATATAATAGAGTCCTATAAAATCAGAAACATGTACACCAGTTGCTTGAAGAGGAAAAGGCGGCACTAAGTAGCTAAAACTCAATTCCAGCAAGCACAGTTTGCTGAGTATGTAAGAATTATGTCTCACTGCAGCAGGCTTGTTGGCCCATATTAGGCGGATCCAGTTTAAATTCTCCCTTCCTATCCATCCCTCCCATCCATGCATCTGTCCACTCTATTCTTCAAACCTGTTAAACTGTTTGTCTCAATAATACTAGCTGGCAGGCCAGTTCCCTCGTCCACAATATTATTCCCAAACCTGTACCTCCCAACAACGTCCCGCCCTAATCGCAATCTCTGCAGCTTGTATCCATTGTCGTGGGCGCTGAATATTCCGATAGTTTCAGAACAACGTTCGGAAAGACGAGAAGTCACAATAACGTGGCTGAAATATGTTTACCAAACCACACACTAAAAAGTGAAGGGACGACGACGTTTCGGTCCGTCCTGGACCATTCTCAAGTCGATTGGGTGCCCATACAATCCCTTCCCTTTCTAGTGTGTGGTTTGGTCAACAACGCTCGGAAACTATCGGAAATCCCATTAGATCTTCCGGTCCTGAAACCTGGCCAGGTCCCGGTGATTTAATTGGTTTAAGGGTTTCATTCTGTTCAAGGATATCCTTCCTGTTAATCTGTATTTCATACAGCTCACTTTCGTCAACGTTTTGGTAGATTGGTTCTAAGCTTCCAGCTTAGTACAGCAGCACAGCAGATGTGTACTGCTTTAGTGGCACCTGTAGCCCACACGTGTAGGCATCTGTCACAGATTACTGATGTTGGAACAATGTCTATGAATATTTTGTATGTGTCTTGCATTAGGTTAATATAAAACGGTGTGTAGAATTACTATTTTTATATTTTTATATACATATCAATATTAAATATTTACAGAGTCAAAGTGAGGGAGATGAGAGAGCAGAGTGGAGGAGGAATGAGAGTGAGGGAGATACTCCCTCACCTGCCTCACATCTCCTCCCTCCCTTCCACAGTAGCAAGGTCTCGACAATCGAAGACATCCCTTCCCGTGGTGATCAAGGGAGCACATCTCCTGCAGGATGCTGCTGCTGTTTACTTCCTGTCGTCGTCGTCGTCGTCCTCGGAGGACACGAAGGATCCCTGAGCGCCGTCAGCCCTGACGCCGTCAGCGGTGGCGGGAACGGCGTTGGACTCCAGGACGCGGTAACCGTCTTCGTCAGCGATGTACTTGACGAAGTATTCCACGCCTTCAGGAGACGTCCACCTGGAACGGCAAAGTAATCCCAGTTTTATTTTATAATAATTTTGAGAGTTTAAAAAAAGTTCACATTGGCCTTAAAGCGAATATATCTTTGAACTCTAGCTTTCAAATACACTAATATACACCATTACAAACTAAAAATAATTACTTTTACTTTGCGACACCTAACTTGATTTAAAAGTTTCTTTATAATTCCAGTAAATTAATAAATAATAATCTAAGCAACTGTCGCTTCTAATGCCATCCACTCGGCAGGTCAACTTGTAAACATTGGTAATTATGTTTAGCAAGTGATTTTTGAACTATATTCAAGTGAGAGACCCACCTGTAGGAGCCCGTGATGGTGTTGTCGTCGTCGATGTTCTGTTCCTGGTGGATTTCGTCGAGGTCGACGTCAGGTCTGGCGGCGACCAGGGCGACCACACCCAGGAGGACGAGTACCTGGAGGAGGTGGAGGAGGTTAGGTAACACCAGAGAGAAGATGAGGCCAGGTAACATGGGAGAAGGAGGTTAAGTAACATGTGAGGGAGGAGGGCAGGTAACATGGAAGAAGGAGGTTAAGTAACGTGGGAGGAGGAAGTTAAGTAACACATACACAATCCCACCACAACACACCCCCAACACAGCAAGACTAATACACTCCGTATTAAGCAAAGGGATTCAAAACCAATTTAAATACGTATCCAGTACATGTGTTTCAAGCTTTCAACACGAAATTTTAGGCCTACGACAACACCAAGATAAACTTAAAACTTTACATGTTTAAGCTTAAATTATTTTAGAATTATCCAAGTTCAACTCAACAGGTAAAAAAAATACTATTTCGAGAATTCTAACTTTCTGTAATTTTTCGCGACTTGGTCTTGTTGACGAATGTGATCTCTCAAGACAAAGTTGACAGCGGAGATGACATCAATTTATTGGTACTTGGATTCTTCAGTTGTCTTAAGAACATAAGAATAGAGAGAACGACAGAAGGCCTATTGGTCCATACGAGGCAGCTCCTATTGGTCCATACGAGGGGACAGGCAGCCAGTGTGTATATATACATGTTAGGCTTATATCGATGGTTACCTCTAGGTCGAATTATTGACCCTCCTCAGGATGCAACCCCACAACAAGCTAACTCACTCCTGGGTGGACAGGGGCATTAAGTGATAGAAAATGCCCGCAACCATTTCTGTTCCTCCAAGGAACTCAAACCCAGAATTCCCGACTGTGAGTAGAGAAAGTAGCCGACTGTACTACCGGGTCCCTGGTTATCTTGAGATGATTTCGGGGCTTAGCGTCCCCGCGGCCCGGTTCTCGACCAGGCCTCTTTTTTGTTACACACCCCCAGGAAGCAGCCTGTAGAAGCTGTCTAACTCCCAGATACCTATTTACTGTTAGGTAAACAGAGCATCAGGGTAAAAGAAACTCTGCCCATTTGTTTCCGCCTCCACCGGGGATCGCACCCGGAACCTCAGGAATACGAATCCGAAGCGCTGCCCACTCAGCTGTCAGGCCCCTGAGCTTGAAACAATCCAGTCCTCCCTGGTTGATACCTGCTTGATGGGGTTCTGGGAGTAGTTCTACTCCCCAAGCCCGGCCCGAGGCCGGGCCGGGCTTGTGAGAGTTTGGTCCACCAGGCTGTTGCTTGGAGCGGGCCCACATACCCACCACAGCCCGGTTGGTCCGACATGCCTTGGAGAAAATGGTCTAGTTTTCTCTTGAAGACATCTACAGTTGTTCCGACAATATTTCTTATGCTCGCTGGGAGGGTGTTGAACAACCGCGGACCTCTGATGCTTATACAGTGGTCTGTACAATTCTGCTATCTATTCTGCCTCCTCGCAGAATCAAAGATTCTTCCTGCTATCTGTTCTGCCTCCTAACTCTACCTCGTCCATTCTGCTACCCGATAACATTGATACCCAACAATGCTCAGTAAATCAACACTCCTCTTCACTTTGGGTCAACTCACTAAGGTGTTCATGGTGATGGTGATGCAGGAGCGTGTGACGGCCGGCCTCGGAGACCCGGCTCTTTATAGCGGCCGAGTCCAGGGCGAGTGGCCCCTTGACCGTGTCCTCTTTGTTTGTTTAACAATCACTTGGACACTAACGACACGATTGTTTTACTGTAACAAGTGACCCACTTTGTTTATCGCTCTCTTCCTATCTGTCTTTACTTACCTGTGAGTGCTTTCCTTACAGTGACTACGGAGAGTGAGGTCTAGCTCCTTTCTGGGTAAAATTTTAAATTTTGCCCCGAGGGGCGAGTTTATTGGGCAGCGCCACTCATCTTGTGAGTGAACATACCGCCATAGCAGAATGCACAACACTCCCCAAAAGGAAGAAAACCCGCTGGGTTGTTCATCCTGTCACTTGTACCCAGACACAGCTTCTGGGTGTGCACAATAAAGTATATTTTGTTCCACTACTTTCCGGGTTGTTTCCTGCACAACCTTATTTAACAACCAGGTTGGGACATAAACCTGAAAGGAGAATTGCACCAGCGCCGCCAAGATTGATGCCAACGTAGCCAACGACAAGAAGTAGCGAAGGATTCAGCAAGCAAGGGTTGACCACTGGGAATGCACAATAGGACCAACTTCTGGATATTGCAGATCACTGTCAAGTGTTCTCTCAATAATTGCCGAACATATCCTGCTGGCATACTACTGAACTGTGCTCAGGTCATCACCAGCAGACTGTGGCAGCTCTGGAAAGTGCTGCCACAGCAGCACTTTTCTGAACTGAATGAAAATCCAAACCCTGAAAGGTTTGACACTTCTTTGACTTGAGCAACTGGCCAATTTGACACATCTCCACTCAAACTGTTCCCAATAGGTCCTGTGAATGAGTCGCGAGTATTTGTGGTCCCATCAAGAGTCACACACACATGACGCAACGGAAGTGCGTTAATAGATAGAAGGCAAATAATCCCACTGAAGTGGCTTGCCTAACAACTCCTCTAAGCCTGGAATGTAACCATGGCACTTGGCAGTCATAGATGCCGTACAGCCAATAACAACAATGACAAACTTATCATGTCATTTACTGCCCTTCAAGGAAATAAAGAGCTCTTGTGCGATAATTCTGTCTTTACTGTCCTCAGGAGACAAATAAGTGAGGTTGACCAGACCACACACTAGAAAGTGAAGGGCCGACGACGTTTCGGGCCGTCCTGGACCATTCTCAAGTCGATTATATTTCAGCCACGTTATTGTGACTCCTCGTCTGCAAATAAGTAATATTCACCTGGCGCTCCCGAACTACAGTAGAGTGCTCTTCAAGTTGCACTTATCAATCTAATTCCTTGGCATCTGCAAGAACCGTTTATGTTACATCCTTGAGCCCATCTCAGTAAGGCGCGTCTACGTATTTGAAGTTCTCCAGGTCTTCTTCCCTGATTTGATTTCAACACTGTTCTTGCTCTCTCTCTCCTCGGAGCCTGTTACCTCACAGGTGGAAGCTGAGTACCCAGATGAACCACAGAGATATTAGAAAGAACGTTTTCAGTGTCATAGTTAATAAATGGAATGCATTAGGCAGTGATGTGGTGGAGGCTGACTCCATACACAGTTTCAAATGTAGATATGATAGAGCTCTAAAGGCTCAGGAATCTGTACACCAGTTGATTGATAGTTGAGAGGCGGGACCAAAGAGCCGAAGCTCAACCCCTGCAAGCACAACTAGGTTGTCGAAAAAAAAGACCTACTCTAATAATTCTAGTTACAATATGCAGATAATTGTGCTGCTGTTCTTGTACAAACCTATTTACCAATACTAACACAAATTACTTTAATAACTCGCTCAAAGAAAACGAGATTACAGTGGTATTTTCCTTTAAACATGGGATATACATTGCCACGTCATAACAAAATATATTAGTAAAATATTAACAAACATATAAATTATCACTAAAAACTCCCAGTCCAGTGTTAAAATTAATAAGCAAGTGTTCCCTGTGACTGGATCAAATAAATTTACCAGTAAAGTTAACGCCTCTCCACCTGCGTCCATATATGGGCAAAATTGAGCCGGTTCCAATAACGTGACTGAGCTGAGGAAGGAGGAGGGCGGCCATGGTGGAACGAACACCGCTCTCGTGAGCTAACAAAAAGAAGCAGCTACGTTTATACTCGTGAACCCGAGCCATCTAGACATTCATCAGCTGCCGTAACCTCTAGATAACGAGAGATAACGCTTCCAGTTTGTCCTGAACAGTCCAAATATTATTAACTGGCCCAGTTAATGTTATTAATGACATTCCGGTTAGGAGGCGGGCCACACCCCAAAACCGGGTGAGCCTCTCACAATCTAGAAAAACCGGGTGAGCCTCTCACAATCTAGAAAAACCGGGTGAGCCTCTCACAATCTAGAAAAACCGGGTGAGCCTCTCACAATCTAGAAAAACCGGGTGAGCCTCTCACAATCTAGAAAAACCGGGTGAGCCTCTCACAATCTAGAAAAACCGGGTGAGCCTCTCACAATCTAGAAAAACCGGCTGAGCCTCTCACAATCTAGAAAAACCGGGTGAGCCTCTCACAATCTAGAAAAACCGGGTGAGCCTCTCACAATCTAGAAAAACCGGGTGAGCCTCTCACAATCTAGAAAAACCGGGTGAGCCTCTCACAATCTAGAAAAACCGGGTGAGCCTCTCACAATCTAGAAAAATCATAATAGCCATAGCCTCGAGGTCTATACCTGGCAGCGTGCTCACGTGTCGCTCTAATATCCATACTGAAGGCTTCAAGCAGCTAAGGCCTTGGTGTACAAACTAACCCCCAGTAGAATAACAAACTAACCTTAGTAGAAATTTCCTATAAATCGATAAATTCTCGATTGACAGGCTAATATAATTAATTAGCCCCCCAAATTGTGTTGGGATATGACATGTGGGAGAATTTAAATCTATACAGTCCGCTAAATAAAACATACAGTCCGCTAAGCTATCGGAAGAAATAATAAATAAGTCAATTATATACCATTTATTAAACTACATTAAAATAATAAATTAATTATAATTAAAACAAATTAAATAATACCCCACGAGTCAGAATTCCCCACATAGGTGAATACACACACACACACACACACACACACACACACACACACACACACACACACACATATGTTTGTTTAGGCCGTGACCCTGGTAGTTTCATCACCCAGGCAAGTAGAGCAACAAGTTTTTATACTGTGTGTGTGTGCGTGTGTGTGTGTGTGTATGTGTTTAAGCAAGTGTACCTATGTCCATATGTCCATATGTGTGTACTCACCTATTCCTACGTGTACACTCGCACGTGTGTGTGTGTGTGTGTGTGTGTGTGTGTGTGTGTGTGTGTGTGTGTGTGTGTGTGTGTGTGTGTGTGTGTGTGTGTGTGTGTGTGTGTGTGCCCGCGCGTGCCAGCCACCACTGGAGTCATAATTGACAACATAGATCCCACTTAAATGTTAAGTACCTATTTTATCTGACCATAACATTTAACTTTTTACAACAAATACATATAAGGAATTCGACACAATTTGAGAACATAATACCCGCTGACGAAGGAACCTACAGCAGGGGGAGAATGCGCTGGATTGTTGATTGTTACAATCAACCGACTGGAATGGAAGCGATTGGAATAGAATCGGTACAATCAACCTTGCCCACAAAGCAGATAAAAAGGAAACAAAACAACTGCTTGGTTCATGAAAACAAAGTACTGAAGCAGCCAAGGGGAATGCCTTCAGCGTGCTTTCTGATATGAAGCCTACCTTGAGGTTACCTTGAGGTGCTTCCGGGGCTTAGCGTCCCCGCGGCCCGGTCGTCGACTAGGCCTCCTGGTTGCCGGACTGATCATCCAGGCTGTTGGACTCGAGCCTACCAGAAAGGCTCGAATTATCAAGCGTCAACGGCCACTCCTGCCATCTCTTGCACAAGGATTTGGCGGGAAAAAATATCCTAGACTTGAGAGGGTGGTGGGTCGGGGCACACGCTTCAAGGTGGCGCCACTTCTCCCCTCGACATTTGTAACAGTTTAATGAGGTAGTTTTCTTGGTGATTGTCGGGTACACGCCCTCAATATTACCCCCCTCCTGTGACCTCGCCCCTCCTGTGACCTCGCCCCTAATGTGACCTCGCCCCTAATGTGACCTCATCACATCTGCGAGCTCAGTTCTCCTGGAAGCTCACCCCCCTTCTTTAGAGCAGAGTTCGCGCCTGGCGTTGAACGCACATAGTAGTATGACCCAGAAAATAGTCACTGATTTCGAATAAATGTTTTAGCTGCTAAAGAAAACAGATTCGAAATTAAATACCTTTGGATGCCATCACATGTTGACATCTCAAAGTATGACACTGTTGATATGCTTGCAAAGACCAGTAGTAGAAATTAATATGGGTGTTTTATTAGCAGTGACAAAGAGAATACTTAAACAAATATCAGATGAAAATCTCACCGACCTAACAAATTCACAAAGACCTGAGAGTTGTAGCATTAAAGATTATGATAAATATCGTGAGGAGACATTCATATATGGAACTAATAGAGCAAGAACTCAGCAATGTGATGTTTTAGTGGAAAGAATACGCCTGGGATATAGACGTATCTGGCAGCTTTCTCAAACCCCAAATGTCGAATACACCATGTGTCGACTTTGTGAAAATGTCGAATACACCATGTGTCGACTTTGTGAAAATGTCGAGTACACAATGTGTCAACTTTGTGAGAGAAAACATGCACTCCCTTGAACATTATATTGTAGAATGTCCCATATTGACTGACTTGCGCTCCCCCTAGGCTGAGGTATTCTGAACTCTGTATATTCTATATGAATACTGGAACACTTGATGATATACTGGACTTGTACCCAAGATTGACTGTGTAATGTATCAGTTATACAACGTATGTAATGTAACTATATAACCTGAGCATGTGGAAGCATCTTAATCACCTTCAGTGGTTAAGTGCTTAATAATACTTAATGCTCAATGCTTAATAATGCTTAATTAAGTGTTTCTATAACAGCTCTCTTACCCTGTCAAAGTAAGA